CTGTGTTCGTCCAGCTCTACACCTTGTTATCTCAGATTTTCCAGCATCTGCAGTTCCTACTATAGCTAGACATGTTCTGTGAATGAATTTAAAAAAAGAGACCTAAAATTTCTATGACTCACAGCATAGGAATGCAGATGAGAACTTGCACTTAGATTGGATAGACCAAATTCATAAAGAGTTAAAGTAATAATACTTGTCTAACTTGTTCTATTGGGAGGATCTCCAGTAATGTTGTCAATGTGAAGAACATTCTGGAGTTAGAAGTTACCAGGCTGAGAAAGTAAAATAACCGAAGTAAAATTTCAGCAGCTAATTATTATTCTGGGTTTATTTCAGGAGAAATGAATATTCACTTCAGGAATGGTGTAACGTATACTCAAGAAATATATTTTGCTTTTAGTTGGCCTGAAATAAAAAGGGTTCTGTGATTTAAAGTGTAAGTTGCCTACAAAACTTGTGTTTAATCAAAGGAGCATTATCTTTTGTGATAGTAAATGTCTTAAAATGTGAAATCTTGTGTTATTCTTTTATCCATCGCTAAAAGTTTGAATATCTTTGTAAAACTTCAAAAAATCCTCAACTTCAAAATGTATCTCAAACTGTGGATCTGTCCTGTCTGCAGAACAGGATATACTAACCAGAGTCAAAACGGTATACAATCAAGATTTAGTTGTCCTGAAAGCCCTCAATGTTGACTTTGGACCACATGACATCCCATGGCATCAAATCAGATATTAGCAAGGAAACCTCCTGTTGATTATGTCCGACCACCCTCCCTCAACTGCATCTCTGTGTTGAACTCAACTTGTGAGAGACACAGCATGTACCCTGAATGGGGTACTTCAGTGTGCATCATCAACATTGGGTTGTTTGCACCACTGCTGACAAGAGCTGGTTGAGTACTAAGGACAGAGCTGCTGGACTGAGCCTGTTTCAAGTGGTGAGGGAACTAACAAAAGGGAAATATACTTACCAATCTACCTGTCATAAATGCATCTGGCCATGTCCCTTCATCACATTCAGGACATGATCCAACACATTGTACAGCACGACCACAATTATCCTCGTCGTCCATAATGGAGGAACCTAGCACATCAGTGCAAAAGATGAAGCTGAAGTACATGCAGACATCTTTAGCCAGAAGTGCTACTGAGCTGATGAACTGTCTGATTTCCACCCGAGGTCCCAATATTACAATGAGCTAGCTGATTCAGTTCACTCTTTCAAGAACAGTTGAAAGTACTACATACTGCAAAACCGGGCAGGTTCCGCCTCCGCCATCAATGGATGTTTCAACAGCACCATCCAAGCCTATGACCTACCATATAGAAGGTCAAAGGACAGCAGATGCATTAGAACTCCATCACCTGCCAAGTCACAAACAGTCCTGACTTGTAACCATTACACTATTCATACATCTTTGCTCGGTCAAATTCCTGGAATTCGCTTTTTAACAGTACTCTGGATGTACCTCTACAGTATGGATTACAGCAGTTCAAGAATTGGGTGCAGTACACGTTTTCAATGGCAATTAGGGAGGGACAATATATGTTAGCCTAGCCAATGATATCCACATCTATGAATGAATGAACGAATAAAATAAACACACTGTGCTACCAATCAGAACAGATCAAGTAATTAAAAACTAAGCATCCACGAAGTTCTGTGGGTCAGCAACAGCAGAATTGTATTCAGCCAAAACCTGCAATTTATGGCTCAGCTGATTTTTTTCCCCCATTCTACCATTACCAGCAAGCCCTGGTTCAATGAAGAGTGCAGAGGAGTATACCAGATGCAACACCTGGCATATCTAAAAATGAGGTGTCAGCATGATGAAGCAAGGATACAGGGCCACTTGCATTCCAAACAACAGAAGCAGCTTGCGCTAGCCAGAGCTAAGAGATCCTACATCCAACAAATTTGATCAATGCTCTGCAGTCCTAACATATTCAGTTGTGAATGATGATGAACAATTAACCAACTCACTGGAAGAGAAATTTCCACAAATATCTGCACCTTCAGTAATGGGAGAGCCCAGCACGTCAAGACTGAAGCATTTGCAGCCATCTTCAGCTAGAGGTACCAAGTTGATGATCCATCTATGCCACCTCCTGAGGTCCATGAAACCATAAGAGTAGGTCATTTGGCCACTTGAGCCTGCTCTGCATTCAGAAGGATATCCTCACATCCACTTTCCTGCATCTTCCCGTAACCCTTGATTCCCCTGCTAATCAATAATCTATCTATCTCAGCCATAAATATACACGAGGACTCTGCCCCACAGCTCTCTGTGGCAAGGAGTTCCAAAATCTCTCAACCCTCTGAGACTAGAAATAACTCCTCACCTCAGTCTTAAAGTGGCACCTTTTTGTTTTGAAACTATGCTGTATGGTGTTGGACTCTTTCATAGATCGTAGCATCCCTACAGTGTGGAAACAGGCCCTTTGGCCCAACAAGTCCACACCGACCTCCACAGCATCCCACCCAGACCCATCCTCCATAACCCACCTAATCTACACATCCCTGCACACTATGGGCAATTTAGCACGGCCAATCCACCTAGCCTGCATATTTTTGGACTGTGGGAGGAAACCGGAGCATCCGGAGGAAACCCACGCAGACATGGGGAGAATATGCAAACTCCACACAGACAGTTGCCCAAAGGTGGAATCGAACCCGGGTACCTGGTGCTGTGAGGTAGCAGTGCTAACCACTGTGCCGCCCCATGAGTGGAAACATCCTCTCGGCATTTACACTGTCAAGCCCTCTAAGAATCCTATATGTTTCAATGAGATTACCTCTCATTCTTTTAAACTCCAATAAGTAGAGTCCCATTTGTCTAGTCTTTGCTCATAAGACAGTCCTTCATACTAGGGATCATCCTCGTGAACCTTCTTTGAACAGCCTCCAGTGAAATAATATATTTTTTAAATAAGGGGATCAAACTTATTCACGGTAATTCAGATGTGGTCTCACCGGCACTTTGAACATTTGTAGTAAAACTTTCCTACTGTTATACTTGAAATAAGGACCAACATTCCATTAGCCTTCCTGATGGCCTGTTACATCTGTGTGCTAGCTTTCTGTGTATTGTGCACAAATACCTCCAAGTTCTTTTTTTGTTGCCGTTTTCTGTAGTTTCTCCCCATTTCAATAATATACTGTTCTTTTGTTATCCCTTCCAAAATGAACAACTTTACATTTTCCTACATTATATTCCAGTTGCCAACTTTTTGCCCACTTACTTAACCTATCAATATCTTTATAAACTGTTTCTATTCCTCTTGTAACTTGCTTTTCCATCTATTTTTGTGTCATCTGCAAATTTGACTACGGAACACTTGCTTCCTTCCTCCAAGTTATTCATATATATTGTAAACAGTTGCAGTTCCAGCACTGATCCCTGTGGAACCCCACTGGTCACAGGTCACCAATCTAAAAATGAAACCCTTAAACACAGAGATAACAAGGTGTAGAGCTGGATGAACATAGCAGGCCAAGCAGCATCAGAGGAGCAGGAAAGCTGACGTTTCAGGCCTAGACCTTTCTTCATTATCTCAGATTCTCCAGCATCTGCAGTTCCTACTATCTCTGAAA